ATATAAAAATTAAGAAACTAACAGAAACTACAGATTTGGTTCATTTTTTGGTGAAAACAAACTTGTTGTTCATTCAGTGACGTTACTCACAGTGGGCAGAGTATCCAGAAATTTTACTCAAGAGAAGCAGTACTAAATAATGCATTTAATCAAGTAAAAGTAAAAAGTACAGTGTCACAAAAGTACTCCTAAAAGTTTTTTTTTCCAAAAAGTTACTCATTAATGTAACTGATTAAATGTAACTAGTTACTACCCACCTCTGCACACATCACCACAGATATGACTGGACTGTCCCTTTAAGCTTATGATGGATGAGAACTGAATAGTTGAAAATAATTTCTCATCTGAACTAATGTCTGCATCGTGAGCAAAGTGTTTCATCATTGGTTAAAAAGATCAGAGCTTTGCCTTTTTAACAATGGAGAGCTTCAGAGCCACGTCCTGCAGCCTCATGATGAAAGTGTCCACGCTGTAGAACTGCGTCCTCCATAGAGTACAGTTCTGTGCAAGTTTTGGACACCTGTTGGGGAAATTATTATTTTGCTCGTTTCCAAGTAAAAGGGTTCAAAATGTAATTTGCTCAGAGGTGTTTTGCATGTTGCTCTGTTGAAGCAAAGTGTCCAGATAAAGGGCCATGTGTTTGAGAAACATTGCCCAATCGCTGTGTTCTTCTCTTGCTTCTTACTGTTGCCCCTCCACCCTCCACCCTTCCTGTCTCTCCTCCAGACCAAACTGGCCTTGCAGAAGCAGCTGACCAAGAGTTTGACAACTGGCTTCCTGCCCAGCCCCCTCACCCCACCAACTCTGTGCACAGTTGCAGCGAACCCGTTGGCTCTGCGCCACCCGGTGGGCACCGCCACCTTCATCCAGACCCCATTCCTGGGCCCCGCACTGTTCCGGCCCGCCCCGGGGCCGCTGCGGGCCACGCACACCCCCATCATCTTCTCCCCCTACTAAAGGACTTAACCGACCTCCCAGTTAAGCTCCGAACATATCCCTTTACCAAACCCGAGGCCCTCYGTTGGTGTAACACAACCAAGGTCACAAGCAAACTATGCAGTCCGCCTGACTTTAAACAGGAAGAGTGCACAAACGGTTCTCACCAGGCCTCAAGACCTGGGACCTCTTCTTACCGTAAAGGCCAAGATCCCCCATCATGCCTTCTTTCTGCTCCTCTTACACTGACCTCAGGAGCAGAACAGGCCTGCAGACAGTGACTGGCACAAAGAGGCCGCTTTTATAGCCATTTTATGGGTCAACATGGTTTAAAATTATATATATATATAAATATATTACTGTGTAATTTATTAGACAACCAATATAGACAAGTCTAGTTGTATGTTTAGTGTGGTCGCCACATAAAAAAAGGTCCCTTTACTTGATGCTCTTTTTATGTTTGGAGGTTTGATGAAAAGTCCTTGTTAAGTCTTTAAAGCAGCTGAACTCAAGCCATACGCTGCACAAGCCAGTCTCTCTGATCAGTGTTTCCAGCTTCAGCTGTGTTCTGCATGATGTTCCAGACATCAACTCATTACATGTCTTAACTTTAGGCCTCTTGAGGACAAGAATGGCTCCTTGGTGTAGGTCCCTGTATGTCAAAACCTACAAATCCAGCCTTTACCTGGGCGTCCTTACTCCTTACTTAATATTTATCTTGTTCTTTTTTTAAGTTACTGATTGCAAAGTATAGAAACAAACATAAAACAGGGTTTTCCTGAACTTAATCAAATCCTGAAATTTGAAAAAGTGTACTCCAGTTTTCCAGAGACGATATGCAATTCTGAAATGTAAACAAAGCACTCAGCTAAATCTGATGAAAGTTTGAGTCACATGACTGACCTATTTAAAGAAATATGATGCCTAAAATGGAGAAAATGACTCAATATGAAAAATATATTATGTGGATTTTGTTTTTTACATCAAGTTTTTTTGACTGGTCTTCATGACTYTGCAACAAGTACCTGTAAAGGAGACATATCATGCTTTTAAATCCTTCTTTTTCACATTTAAATCATTCAGTTGGGGTCWATATAAAGCGGTCCATCCTAGTTTGATGGAGGGGTTTATGACTATATAGCTGCGCAGAAACTTTTTATTTACAAATGAATTAAAAGATGTCATTAAGTGAAGACTTGTCCATCCAAAATTAGATGTTGGAGCCAGAGTCTGACCCAGAGCCAGAGGAGAATGAAGACCACCAAACTGTAGTTGGTAACTCTAAACCTTATGAAATAGAAAAAAACTGAATGAGTCGAGAACTCTGACCCAAACAGAATATAAAAATATCAATGCAGCACCAGGTGAGACTAAATTCAACTTTTCTGCCTCTTAGAGACTCCAAGTTCACAACAAAATGTGCTTAATGGCTAAAAAAGTGGATTTTGCATGATATGTCCTCTTTAGGTCACATTTTTCTTCTCTTCCCCCTAATGCCAGGATTAAATCCTGATTGAGGTCCCCCAGAAAAGGTCAGCTTCTTTCAGTTTGCACACTTGACTTCAGAACGATTTCTTGCATCACTCGGTGCAACTTAAGGACCGTGCTGTTCCAAAGCATGAAAACATGTTTGCAGCTCCGGACGGACRTCTTAAACTGCACAAGGCCATCATTTTTCTTCTCCCAATCCCCATGGCTGTTTTTTTGTTTTGTTTTGTATTTGATTTTTTTTCTTCTTCACATCTCTGCCACCTCCTCGCCACCGCCGCCCTTGATTTCTCTGCCGTTATTTCCGTACGAGGAGCTCCTCGCAATCACCACGACAAACACAAAGGACGAGACGAAAAACTCCGAGTGCTCCGTGAGGAAAGTTCTTGACGGCGGTGGGTGTAGGAGGGCTGCTCCTCGGCTGCGGCGTGATTGACGTCCCGTCGCAGCGTGGCGAGATGCAAAGCACATTGCCACGGCAACCGCATCAAAAGCACCTTAAAACTGATTTTCTTACAAAAAAAAAAAGCAATGGGAGTTGTGTTGATGTTTCCCCCTTTGATTCGCCGTAGGTGTGTGTTTTACAACTGTCACGTCCGTTCTGACGGGAGCTTTGCTTTGGAGTAATAACAATCAGGTGAGGAGGGTCGCGTCGACGACGGTTCTCACATTTAAAAGCAATACGTTCTGTGTTTCTGATGTTTGGTGTTTCCACAACCTGATCTAGTCTCTGAACTCTAAGATGTAAGGTAATCCTGGTGCAGCCGTTTGAAGACTCATCTGAAATGAGTTGATGCTCCACAAAGACGACGGCTGGTTTTGATATGTTGAAGCTGCGAGATGGTGGGGCTTGGGGGGGGTGCTTTAGGCGCCGTGTGACACTGCAGAACCTCCGCACGACTTCCAACGAGCAGAAACACTGTTGCATCGAGCGACTCTGAAAGCATCACATCTGCAGCATCAACTGTCATTTTGCTGTTTGTGCTCGACTACCCACCCCAACCCCCACTACCCACTCCACTGCCCCCCTCCCTCCGTACAGGATATCTGCTGATATTCACCCCCTTTTTTTTCCTTATGCCAAAATGAACTCTTGGCAAGGTCTCCCAAAGGACTCGGAGCGTTCGCGTCATCCCTCCCCTCCACAGTCAAACCCAACCTCTTCACTTTCAGTGATGAAGCAAACCCCCATGTGTTTGTGCTGTGTGTGCGCGCACTCGAGTGTGTGTGTGTGTGTGTGTGTGTGTGTGTGTGTGTGTGTGTGGTCGTGCTCAACGCAGCAGTGCCATCTGTTGTGAACAAACTGTAACTGCCGTGTAGTGCTAGTGCTTCAACATCTTTCATTCGATGTGCGTTTCTGTTCTGCCCTTTAGGTTTATAAAGCCCCCCACCATACTAATGTTACCCCCCACCCCCCACCCCAACCCCCCCTTCCAGTCGCACAACTCAGCGAACCAGTCAGCCTTTAATTCTTCACTGTTTGTTTCTCTCTTATTTGCTCGGTGGGAACAATAACCTAAAGTTTTTTTTCTTAAATAATCTAGAAAAAAGCAGATTCTATGTAGAAATAGAGAAATTATAGAGATTTTACCAGAGTTGTTATTGTTATCTGTATCATAMTGAGCTATTATAGAGGAGAGTAGATGATGTTATTGTTAAATTGTTTTGGGTACAGAGAAATGAAAAAAAAAAGCTTTTTTTGTTTCATTTACATGATTTTAATGTTTTTTTTTTCAAGTAAAAGAGAAAATATTTAAAATGACAATAACACTATGTGAGCTTTTTTTGTTTGTTTGTTTTGTTGACAATGACTGAGGTAATAATTTAATTTAAGGCCTTTTTAGACACTGTCCTTCAGTGACGTGAACCAGGCCTTCTCAGGGGTGACAGGTTGAGGAAAAGTGACCATCCATTCAGGGTATCGCTCCATAACCACGTAGATGAAATGACAGGGAAATAGCAGAAACACTCGCAGTGCTGTACATTAGAGAGCAAAAAAAAAAGGATGGATTTTGGAAAATAAAGCTTTTCAAACTTGTGTGATAAGTTTTTATTTTTTTCTAACCTGTCTGTGTGTGTTTGTGTGTCCGTCACAGCCGTATCCCAGAGGATGGAACTGAAGGTCAAATAGGTGTTTTAAGCAACAGCAATCAAGGTTGAACCAAGTTTTTATCTACATGTCTGCTGCTCTGAGTTAAATAACACTAGAGTGAGCCCTGCCTGTCTCGTCCACTGTTTGTTGTCCCTGCCTAGAGAGTGGAGAGGAGGCTTTTCAGTGGTCCTGTGATGGACTTGCAACCTGTCCAGGGTGTACCTGCCCCTAGTACACCCCACCCACCCACGCTGAAAGGAAGAAGCAGGTTAAGATAATGGATRAATTAAAATTATTGTTAATTATGTAAATTTCATTCTACGATAGTGTAAAACAGCAACTATATACARGACAAATTATAGCAATTTATAAGTAAMAATGATTTAAATAAAACCTGAAGTCAGTCAATAAATTATAACATAACATAAAAATTGTCTTCAACCAGTGATAAAGTTTTATTTATTACCTGTAATAATCATATTTACTAGTCGACACCAGAAACCATTCACTGCATACCCGGATATAGATAAAACTTTATTTACATTAGCTAACCATCTTTTCAAGTCATGTTTTTCTAATAAAAACCCAATTGTCAAATATAAAACATTCGATTTAACATCATCTGTGTTAAATTGTAGCAWGATTCAGCAGAGTGCTACACTCTAYAACACTATGCTACACAATATCTCCTAACWAATACAATAATTAACAGTGAYTACATTAGTWTTATTAGCTATTTTCATTTTAAACAGTTAAATTATTGGCTTAAGTTCTGGTCAGGTCACATCCACATTGAGGTCATCAAATCAAACCTGTTTACTTGTGAAATGAGACTTTTTCCAGTTTCTCTTCAAGTTAAAGGTAARAACCAAAGGATGTCACCTGACACCCTGGTTTTCAAAATAAAAGCCCTCAGTAACATCTGGAAACGTTTAAAGGCAGAAAACCGCACCGTTTTTGCCCACCAGTGGAACAAAGACTATATATTATATTATTATTAATAGG